CATGCTTACATACATACATGCATACATACATGCATGCTTACATACATACATACATGCATGCATACATACATGCATACATGCATGCATGCATACATACATACATACCTAACTACGTGTGTGTATACATACATACATACGTACATGCATGCATGCATGTATACATGCATGTATGCATACATACATGCATACAAGCATACATGCATACATATATATGCATGTATGCATGCATGCATACATACATACATGCATACATACATACACACATGCATACATACATACATACATACGTACATACATGCCTACCTACCTACCGATCGGCCTACCTACCTACCTACGTATAGACCTACATACATGCATACAGTCATGCATACATACATACATACATACATACATACATACATACATACGTACGTACATACATACATGCATGCATGCATGCATGGATGCATGCATACATGCATACATGCATACATGCATACATACATGCATGCATACATACATACATACATACATAAATACATACATACAAGCATGCATTCATACATACATACATGCATTAAAAACAAGGACTGTTTCCCTCCCAACGCAAAGCATGGCAGGAGGGGGGAGAATACACTGCCCCTCAAGAGGGCTGCTCCGACCACACACCGCGGACAAGGAAGACTGCGCACCAGGCGAATGCACAGATGTCGCCAGGATCGTGCAGAAAACCAGGCCGCTTCGCCCGAGGCATCCTCTCAACGCGAGTCAACTCCTCCCAGATGCAAACTCCGAGGCCACAGCCAGCTCCAAAGGAGACCACGACGCGCCACATGCGTGCCGACGGTCCTGAAAACTGGAGCGTTGAAGAAGCAGGGCCAGCGAGCGTGGCCGAAACAGCTGTCCTGCGAGGGGGGAGGAGGAGGAGGAGGAGGAGGAGGAGGACCTGCGAGCGTGGCCGAAATCAGCTCAACAGGCTGTCCTGCGAACGTGGCCGAAGCCCATTGTGATATGCAAAGAGGGGGGCCAGCAGCAAGAGGCGAAGCCCTTGCGGGCAGTTCCACCGGCCCTCTGGGCGTGCGCACGGTTTGGCAGGTTGGACTTGCCAACCTCCAAATGGTCCTCGATCGGTCCTCGATCGGTCCTCGAACGATCGAGACTCGACCGATTCTCAAACGATCGACGACGACGCTGACGACGACGACGACGACGACGACGACGGCGACAACGACGACGACGACGACGACGACTACCACGAAAACGACTTCCCAGGTCGGACTTTCCTTCGGGGGGGCAGCTCTCCCCCTGCCCCCTCTCCCTGGGTCGGAACCCCTCTCCCAGCGAGGTGTCGGAGTGTCCTTCTGGGCCCAAGGCGGCCGAGATGGCCCCGGACAGCCGAGGAAGGTCTTCGACGTGGCGCAGGACAAGAAGATGGTTCAAGATAGCTCGCGAGTGGGAGCGCGTTGTTAAGGTTTGGCCACACAGCTAAAGGCATGTTGGCTTCGTTTTGTTTTTCTCTCTGCTCACGCACCGACTGGTGCAAGGCTTACCTGACTGACCGACTTCAAGATAGCTTCCACCGTGCTTCCAACGAGCCCAAAGATCGCCCCAAGACGGCTCTAAGTGGCCACAGAGTCTCCCACGGACGTCCCCGAGAAGCCAAAAATCCCTCCAAAACTTGAACAATGTCAATGTGCGTTGCCTTCTCGCCCTTTCGCTTCCAATGGGCGCTTGAGGCCTCAAGTAGGCTCTGAGATCGCACAAGAGAGCCCCAAGAAGGTTCCAGGAGAGCTCCGATACGGCCCCAAGAGCGCTCAATAGCGCCCCAAAAGCGCCCCATTATGGCCCGAAGATGCTATTTGACGGCTTCCGCCGAGGAGGCGGAGGGAGGGGATTGAGAACACCCTCTGCGTGCATCGATGGTCTCCGAAACAGCCCAAGAGGACCCCCAAACGCACCCAAAGAGCCCCAAGAGAGCCCCGATAGAGCCTCAAAGGCCTCCAACAGTTCCCCCAGAGAACCCCAAGATGGCCCAAGTAAACTGCCAAGCGGCTCCGGGACAGAAAGCTCCTGCGAGGCATTCATGACTGACACCTGGGCCTGCTCGCTCTGCTTCCCGTCTTCGCTTCCAACGGCTGACCCCCTCCGTTGCTCCAGTGCATGCTCCCACACATCCCTTTTATTACCCTCCGCAATTCTCGCAGCACTTCTGCCTGCGCCGAAGTCGTTGAAGTAGAGTTGTCCCTGCTGCGCAACCTCCATTCCTAAGTGATGGTATCCAGGGCGCAGGGCGAGAAAGCTCGCCACTCAGACGAAGATGCCCGGGGTGATAATGCCGGAGAAAATAAAACAAGGCGATGCAATGCTGCCTTCCTGTTGTTGTGGAGGCTTACCAGCACCCCACCAACGGCTCGGCTGATCTCAATTCAGAACTGGCTCAGGCCCACCTTGCCGGTCAACAGCTCCGCGGACAGGATGCCGATGGCCGCGAACATCGCGAAGCGACCGTTATTGAGTTCCTTGTGGCGCATGTCCTCGTCGTAGCCGAAGATGTTGGACAGGCCCAGGGGGTCGCCGAAGTTGCCCACCTCCTTCTTCGGGTCCTGCGTCCACACCGCGAGCTCCATGGCGCCAGCGAACAGAAACAGCGCCACGAAGCCGTACGTGCCCGGCGCCGTCGTCACCGCGCCCACGCCCGCAGGCACCGACTCGAAGGCGGGGCACTGGCTGTACTGCTGCGCCACGAACCCCAGGGCCGCCATCATTGAAGGGGCCCTGGGACACACAAATAAATACACACAAATAAAGATCTTCCCCATATTTTCCTATATTTTCTGAGTTTCTATCTTCCCGCCCAATTCCTATATTTTCTCATATTTTCTTGGGAGTCGACGATTATTTTCTTGTCTGTGTGTTTTTTCCCCTCCTGAATCATGGCCACGCGCCCGGGCTTGAGCTCCGCGGTGCGCAGGCTCCGGAAGCCCTCCTCGTCGCCCACCTTGCGGAACCCAGCCGGGTCGAAGAAGTCGATACTGATGGGCCTGTTTTCCACCACCACCACCATAAGTTGGAGGGGGAGGGTGCCCTCCTCCTCCTCCTCTTCGTCCTCCTCCTCTTCGTCCTCCTCCTCGTCCTCCTTCTTCCTCCCCCCAACCTATGGTGGTGGTGGTGGAAAACGCTCCCATCAGATACTTGTAGATGCAAACTGGCCCGCAGCCAGAGGGCACACTCCCACGAGTGACCACCGAGAGGACCACAAGCAAGGGGATCCTGCACTGCGCGACTCCCGGGCGGGCAGTGCATGCAAAGGGGGGCCAGGGGGGCCATGGCGCCCAGCTGCGTCGCCGGGTCGAACGGCGGCGGCGCCTCGGCGGCACGCCGCGCCGCACGCGCCAGCCGGCGCGCGGCGAGCGCGAGTGCGGCCGCCGCGCACACCGGGAGGGCGGCGCCCAGGCTGCCGCCATGGGCCGCGCCGTTCTGCGCCGCGGGGGCCCTCGGCGCCAGCAGCGCGGTGGTCGGCGCGCTGGCCGACCGGAGGCCCGCCGAAGCGGGGGGGGCGGCGCCGACAAAGGTCAGGGGCATCGTGCTGCCTTGCCCAGCAGAGCGGTGCCAGGTTCGAGGGGCAGCGCTGCCAGAGTTTCGCCTCGAACACACTTGAGCCAAAACGGCTGCAGTGCAACTTCCCCACACTTCACTGATCAGTGCAACTCCCCCGGGCATTGCTCCCGGAAGGGCTGGTGGGACTTTTCTTCGTCGCGGCCGCAAGCGGAAGCGCAGGCGGCGTCCGAAGTCAGCCTGGGCTGCTGGTGGGACACGCGAGGCGTCCAAGAGCTGGGCTGTATAGTTGCTTGGCTGCGTGGTTGATGTCTGGAGCGCCTCCAGATTCGGGGGTGTGCACGTTCGCCTGCTTGTGTAGTGCCTGTGCCTGCCTGCCCGCACGCATGCAAGCATGCAAACACTATCTGATGGTGCGCGTTTTGGGCACACCCCGGCCGCAATGCCCTCTGGCAACCCACGGCCACGAGGGGGCCAGGGCAGGCGGGCCAGGCAGAGAAGCCGGGGCGGGCACGGTAGCAGAGGAGGGAGGAGAGAAGGGCACGAAGGAAGGAGGAGGAGGCGGAGGAGGAGGGGGAGGAGGAGGAGGAGGAGGAGAATGAAGTGGAGGAGGGGAACGAGAATCGCACACTGGGAAGACGAGAATTGCGCGTTTTGGGAGGCGGAGGAGGACGAGGCGGACGACGAGCGAGGAGGGACGAGAACGAGAGCACAGACGAAGACGATGGCAGGGAGGGGCACGTGCATTGCAGCACGCCCGTTACAGGACTGGCTCGGCGGACGGAGCGGTGAGCCTTCGGAAAGGGCCCCGCCGAGCGGCGGGACCAGACCGGCCAGGAGCAGTGGGCTACACATCGGTCCTGAATGGAAGGGGAGGAAGAGAGGGAGGAAGATCGGAGAAGCCCCCTGCTGATACATGAGCCACTCGACTCCGCCTCCGTCCCTGCCCTCCCTACCCCACCACAACGAGCTTCGCTAGGGCGAACCAGGCGCTTCGCCTTGGAAATCCTCACCATTTACGATATTGACGCTTGAAAATCGGAACAAGTACACGATGGAGCGCAGGCCGTTTGCAAAACGGGGCTCTCGCATCGGCGCCGCACACGCTCGTCTCAGGAGAAAAACATAACAATCGGATGGAAGAAGGGCCATTTTCGAAATAGAACTCTCGCCTTGGCGGCGCACACACTCGTCCGGAGAGGTGCAATGATTACACGCGTGGGAGCGGATCGTTTTCAAAATGGGGGCACTCGCCGTGGCGCTGCGCACAGTGGTTTGCTATCTCACAGTTGCACTTCCCTTGTTGGGCTCTTGCCTGACGGCTCCTTACTCGTGGCACCAGATGTACGAATGCGTCTTCACCACACGTGCACACTCGTGCAGCACAATTGCAGGGGGGAGAGCGGCTCCCTCCCATGCTGCGGCCCTCGCCTGCGCCTGCGCCAGACGCTATGACCGGACTTCTCGACCTGTGAAACAGTTACACTGAAGGGGCCCTGGAACACACAAATAAATACACACAAATAAAATGATTCCCCATGTTTTCTAATATTTTCTGGGTTTCTGTCTTCCCGCCCACTTCCCATATTTTCCCATATGTTCTGGGGAATCCACGATTAATTGTGTCTGTGTGTTTTTTCTCCTCCTGATACACACGGATGGAGGGCCAGTCCTTGTCAGACCGGAGCGTCTGCTGGACACTTTCCTGAATCTCATCCGGCGGCGAGCGAGGGGCGGGGAGGTGAGAAGGGGCGGGCCTTCCCAGAGGACTCGCAAGTCCCCCGCCGGCCTTCCGAGAAGCTGCCGGAGCCTCCCCCGCGGGTGCAGAAGGGCCTCTCGGAAGGCGCGATAGGCCTCTGAGGAGTCCCGCCGCCTTCTGAGAAGGCCTCCTCCTCTTCACTTGCCCCCCTCGCTCGCCGCCACGCGGCACTCCGACTCCGGCATCCGGCTTCTGACTCTCCACCTCCACCTGCACGAGTCAAAAACCCTAATAAGGACGCGCGACTTTGCTCAGGGCACCCTTGCGTCCTTGCTCTTCCTTGCTCTTGCGTCCTCGGGGTTTTCGCCGTCCGCCGCCCCAAAAATCCCCGCTTCGGCTTCCAAGGGTCTTGCGCCCTCACCGCGCGTCCTTATCAGGGTTTTTGACTGCACTTGACTTCCAGCGTCCACCAGCTCAGGAGGTAAAGGAGGAGGTAAAGGAGGAGGTAAAGGAGGAGGAGGAGGAGGAGGAGGAGGAGGAGGAGGAAGAGGAGGAGGAGGAGGATTCTTGTGCGGAAGGAGGAGGAGGAGGAGGAAAACCATGAGGATGAGGAGGAGAAGGAGGAGGAGGAGGACGAGGAGGAGGAGGAGGACTCTACAAGCACTGAGGGCCCCCGCCCCCCCCGCGCAGGCCCCCAAAAGGGCCCCGCTCCCGCCTCGCCTCGCCTCGCCTCGCTCGCCGCCGGATGGGGCCCCACCCTGCCGCACTCCTCACAGAACGCGAAGGAGGGAGAGGAGGAGGAGGAGGAGGAGGAGGAGGAGGAGGAGGAGGAGGAGGAGGAGGAGGAGGAGGAGGAGGAGGAGGAGGGAGGAGGAGGAGGAGGAGGAGGAGGAAGGAGGAAGGAGGAGGAGGAGGAAGGGAGGAGGAGGAGGAGGGAGGAGGGAGCCCGGCTTCTCTCAGAGCGGCGCCGCCCGCTCGAGCCCCGGGCCCACGGGGCGCCCGCGGTGGCCCTTCCGTCGGGGCGCTGCTGCGCACGGCAGGAGCAGAGAGAGATGCCGCAGGGGACGGGCGAGTGAAGGGGCCCGGGGGCACACAAACGAATGGACACCAAGGCCAGGATTCCCCACGATGTCCATTTTTTTTCCTGCGTCTTCGTCTTCCCCCCCCCCCACTGTCCATGCTTTCCCGCACTGTCCTGGGGATCGACGATCGATGGTGTCTGTGTCTTTTCCCCTCCTGAAAGAGGAGGGGACGTGGGACTGGAGGGTGCACGTACTCGGTTTACTGGGGCCCTCCTCTTCCGCCTTCTCTTCCTTCCATCTCGTCGTCATGTTCGTCGTCATCCGTCCTGTGCTCCTCTTCGCCGGGAGGGCGGCCGTCGACGCCTCCCCTGGCCCTCGCCCGACGAGGCGGCCGCCTCGAGACCCGACAGGCCGACATCCCCAATCCTGCGCTGACAGCCCAGCCGCATAGTGTCGTCGTGTGCCCCCCGACCAGAACGCGAGAAGGACACTCCGAGGAGAAAGGCGCCTGCCACCCTCGAACCTCTGCGGGCCCAGTTTGGCCCAGAGCCAGCTCGATGTCGGCTCCCGGCCACGCTTGGGGGGGGGCACAGCCGTCAAGATCTGGGCACGTACAGACTACGCCTGCGTGCATGCGGCAGGCTCGTGCCGTGACGACATGGGCGGTGGTTTCAAACACCGTCGGCGTGGAGACACAATTCGGCTCCACATCAAGCCGCATCGCCGATGATTCGGCGATGCGGCCTACATTAGATACTCCCACTGGGGGCCTAAATGCCCCATGTAATCGGACCCCATCTTGGGGGGCTGGACACTAAAACGAAGCCAAGACGATGATAACATCGGGCGAGGATAAACGGAGAATCACTGCGACCTGGCGGCTCTGAACCATCGCGGATCTCCGACAGTGCAGACCGTTCGGGATCGGCCGATTCGTGGCGGCGGACAACCTTGAGCGGTCGCGGTGGAGGCACCGCCGCGTCGACGCGGCGCGAACCTACCGTACGCTCGTCCCTTCCCCCCGGACGCAACAAACAGGGTGCACCCCGTCTCCCCACCGGAGGCGCGGCGTGCTCCGGTCCGGCCATCGACCTCGGACCCCCAGCGCCGCGCTCAGCCTAACGTCTCGGCACGACGGCGCGACGTGTTCCCCCACTCCCTTGCGGATTCCCCACCCCCCACCCCTTCCCTACACCTTCCATGGCCTCCTTTCAATTCTCGCTTTCCCTCTGTTCCCTCGGGGATCTACTGACCCAGTCCATCCACACCCAGGTCAGTCAAGCTTTTTGCAGGATCCTGCAAGGTCCTGCAGAATCCTGCACCCAAACCTGGGTCACTGCCACCCTGGCCCTGCAAGCTCCTGCGAGATCCGGCGCTCTGACTGACCCCCGCTTGCATTGACCGCCGTCTCTTGAGCCCCGATTCCCTCCCCGACACATCTCTCCAGTCCCCCCTCCTCCCTTCAGATCCACGATTCCCCCCCATCCTCACCACTGTGTCAACCCATGCTGCACTCCCCGCGCCCTCTCCTCCGCCCTACTTCTCCCCCCTCCGCACGTCTACCCAGCCGCCCGCCCCACGCACACCTCATGGTCAATCGCCTCCCTCATCAATTTGCACAAAGTGTCCCTCCCATCCGTCAGGTTTTCCCGCGGTTACCACTCCTCCTCCTCCTCCTCCACCTCTTCCTCCTCCTCC